AACCAAAATGAATGATATTTTTTTTTAATAAAGAGTAAATTCCATTACTTTAGATAATAAATCAAAACCATTATTATGAAAAAAAAATTGGTATTACTGGAACCGTAAATCGCTGTTAACTTTACCATAAAGATGTAAAAATATTGTTTGTCTCTATAAAAATCTGTAAAAATTTACTATTCTTTTTTACGGTTTATAAGTTTATCAAAATGGCATAAGTATAATCTAATGTTCATACCATATACATTTAGATTTATAAATTACAGAAAATAAACAATTAGGATACACAATTTCATGCCCGAAGTATACATGAATTTAGATACTTTGTATAATAACTTGATTTGTATCCGTTCTCATTTAGTTTTACCCCTACCATGTTAGTCAAAAAGTGAAATTACAGTAAATATCCAAGACAGTAGTAAATTCCATCAACTAAACAAACAACTTCTAATAATTAGTACTGAAATTGTATATGTTGACATGTGGAATGATTTGGCAAGGTTTGTAATCAGTGTTTCGGAACACCATGTATACAGCTTCCCAAGCACGCTCGTAACAATCTGTTGTCACTTTGATGAATGAGTTTTGTTCTGGAGTTGAATTAAACGTACGAATCGAAATATGAAAATAACAGAGGAACAATAGACACATTGTTGAAAAAATTCATTGTTGAGCTTTAAAATAGTTATTGTTTTAATTTACTAAAAAAACTAAGTAATTTAATAGTTTTACCTACGACCGTTTTTTAAAGTAGCCGTTTCAGTACAGCTCTTAGAATTGAAAAGTATCTCATAACAGCATAGTTTTACTCATAACAACACGGGTAACGGACCAATGAGGTTCAAGGATTGAGAGAGGAGAAGTAAAATTGTAATGATTCAAAATTCAACTAATCAGCTGTTTAGGCCAATTTAATTGTTGATTGGTGCAATTAGTGTGTATCGTTGCATCACTGTCAGTGGCAATGAGAGGTTATAAACGAAAACATAACCTCCTTTAGAATGAATAGTGATTTTTAGTAATTAAAACAATGTCGTAGGTAAAGTAGTGTACGCAACTCGTGTAAATAGTGTTAACGACACTCGTAGAAGTTTTTAAGGCACTCGCCAAGGCTCGTACCTTAAATTTTCTACTCGTGTCGTTAACACTATCTTTACGCAATCGTTGCGTAAACTACTATTACACATTTAAATCACTTTTCATCAATGATTAGTTTTTAATCTCTAGGAAAGGAATTTGTTTGTGGATTTCTAAAATAACCTATTCTAAGCATGCATGGGCGTTTAAACAACCTTTTCACTTTTGGACAATTGGATTAATTTTCCTATAAAGTCCACAAACGCCTTTCTTTAGATAAAAAATGTCTATTATGATTAAAATATAGGAGCATTATTCTAAGCATTCCATGATATTTTGATTAACAACGTCGATTTAAAAATGCAGGCTTTCGTGTTACATTTCACTATGTAATTAATATATTTACTTAGTAATTAATAAAACGTTTCCAGCCCTTTCATTATAAACTTCCCGGTTTTTATTTCAAAGGTTGAAACTTTTACGTTCTGACAGCGGACGGCAGGTGATCCCGAAAGTTTACTCATCAGAGGTTATTTTTCTCAGCAAAAATAAACAGATTTGTAATTTTCACAGGATTAATATTTTATTTAAATAACTCCAGTTTGGCTTGAGTATTTAAAGTATTTCAATTTTATAATTGGATTATTTATAACTAGGGTATAAATCGATATTTAATTTGGCTTTTTAAACTATGTGTAGGCCTATAAAAGAAAGATAGTTTTAAATTGGGAATAACTAAACAATAACCAACAATAAATAAAAATGAAAAATCACAAATTCATACGAGAAACCATGAATGAATCAGTATTTTGTTCGGAACTTTAAACTTGACAATATATAATGTAATGTGGTTTAATTTTATGGTTATACAAGTTTTGTTAGGATATCAAAGTCATGCAAAATACTTCAAATGACGATTATACGATTCCTATAATAAACCAAACCATATGAAAACCTAATACTAGTATATACATAACAGTGTATTTTTCATAACTAAAGTCTAAAGTGACTCTTTTCGAAATGAGCTCAGGCTTAACTTTAAGTTTACGAGGGTTGAAAATGCCCTTACGGTCTGAATAATCAAGTATATTTAACGTCATACTTCACAATTCCTTGATAAAAAATACGATTGCATGACATTAAATTTGCTATGAACACTACAGTTACAAAATTGATAGGATTCTTTAACTCAGTGATGCAGTGCAACTCCTCACCTCTTGATTTACCTGCAACTGGATTCTATAGGTAAACAAGGATATGTCCAGTCCAGAGGCCTCCTCTTCAACAAAGGCATGTTAATGTGACCAAACCAATAGATTTTTCTACGGCCAACCGTTCCCTGGAATTGTGCGAAAACTATTTAAACCGCATCTATTCAACAGAAGAGTACAAATTCAGCACATCCATGAAGTGTACAGTATAATCATTGTTGTCTATTGTTAGTCGCTTCTAACCATTGTCTGTTGTAAGCACAATTACTAAATTGTAATGATTGTGTAGAAAGCCAATGTAGTAAACAATGGCGGAATGGTTGAATACTAAAGGTCTATATACGTTAACAGTTTTGATGTTTCGTTGAAAATTTTAGAAAAAGGACTATACCTTGTATTAGACAGATTTAAGTATATTGAACACAATATTAACGTAAAAGCGTTGAATAATATTTAAGATGTTATTTTTGTTTTGTAAATTTTATTTTACACTATTGAACTGAGTGATCAATACAAAATTCGAAGGGGCTATTATAGGAAAATGGTTAGAGCTTGATTACTGAGGGCTGAAAAATCAGTAAAAATGTATTTCAAAACTTCGTTTTACGATATTCAACACAACTTAACTCACTTTATTTCACATACCCAATATTTGTGCTTAACTCAACAAACCAACCGCAAGCGGATAGTCAAAAGTTTAAATTAAACAACGCTTAGCGGTCCAGTGGAATTCCTGGCACGAAGTTTTCGTTGATAAATTGATTAATTAGGTGGTCTTGTGGTCTGTTTACCTGGAAATTCCGATTATTAGTTTATTATATACATATAAAAATACCACTGGCTATTGTGAATAAATTAAATCCATTTTCAGAGTAGATATGTATATATTATTGGTGGTCATTTTTATCAGCCTTTAAAAATTACCACACTCAAAAATATATTTTGCAAAACTCATTCACAGTAAATAGCCACGTCACACAACCTGCAGACTAGCGAATTTTCATTCAACCAAAGGGATTGTCACTAAACTATTTCTACATGTGATATTTTTCTCTACTTAAATAATCATTAGGTAATACAAGTTCTGAGGTTTGCTGCTACAGTGAACGTAATAAAATTGGTTTTTGAAATGTTAAAAGCTTTAAAAATATGCAAAATTTGTTCAAACTGATAATAGTACAATGAAACACTCTTAAGAGGCAACAATTGGAATGTTTTAAGAGGATAAATCAAGTGAGCGTTTAACAAAGGCCCTTATTAGCAGTTGGTTTAAAACTTATCGCATATTATTTGATAAAGAAAACTCTTTAAACGTAGCACATATAAAAACAACAAACCTTATATAGGATTTACAAACAATTGTTCGATGATCGATAAAATCCGATGGGAATAACAACAGAGATTCACGCAATGAACTAAACCGCAATTTAGATCTGTCTGATAACGCTTGCTTTTGCTTTTAGGCAATAACATTGTCACGCATATTAGCCGTTGCATTGGGTTATTCAGACAACAACTTAGTTTAATATTGAACAAATAAAACATAATTATATACTATATTCTCAAAATATTTTAATATGTGCTTATGTTTATATACAATTTTATATGTGTTTCATGACTAGAAAAAACTTTGTTTCCAGTTAATATTTTTGTAAGTCAAAGTTTAAGCTAGAATGTAACCTTCATGATAGTGCTGTAAGGATGGAAGTTTATAAAACATAAAATATGAAGCTGAGAATACCACAAGAGCCGCCGTAAGCCAATCCCGTCAAAGCCCCTTGAATGGCTTATGCTATATAATGTTAGGAAATATCCTTCGGACAACTTTTAATTTCTATAGAATCCACTTAGCGGGTAAAGCCTAAACAATTGTGAGTATAAATATTGTCGTGGAAATTCAAATTATGTGGTGTAGTGTAGACATATTTTTGAAGAATAATTTTACGTCCGATATTACGGTAAGGATAGATATCATGTACATACTCGTTGATAAACAACATGACTTCAAAGAAGGACTAAAAAAAGAATTCTGATAGTCTACTTGTAATAATTCTTAATGACCTAAATTCAACGGCTGTCGCATCACCAATAGAACCCATCAAAATAAACTATTTTAGGCTAAATTATTTTAACTAATTATTTTCAGTTTCAAACAGAGATGAATGAGGTGGCACTCGTAGAGGAGGAGCCGGTGGAGAAGGAAGGAATGAGGATGTTACAGAGGTGGAGGAGGAGAAAGAGCCGGTAGGAGAATAAGGAGGTGGAGGTGGAGAAGGTGGCAGAGGGGAGAAGAATAAGGAGGTAGAGGTGGAGGTGGAGGCAGAGAGGGAGAAGAATAAGGAGGTGGAGTTGGAGGAGGTGGCAGAGGGGGAGAAGAATAAGGAGGTGGAGGTGGAGGAGGTGGATAAAAATAACGAGATGGAGGTGGAGGAAGTGGCAGAGGGGGAGAAGAATAAGGAGGTGGAGGTGGAGAAGGTGGCAGAGGTGGAGGTGGAGAAGGTGGCAGAGGTGGAGAAGAATAAGGAGGTGGAGGTGGAGAAGAATAAGGAGGTGGAGGTGGAGGAGGTGGCAGAGGTGGAGAAGAAGAAGGAGATGGAGGCGGAGGAAGTGACAGAGGGGAAGAAGGAGGTGGAGGTGAAGGAGGTGGCAGAGGTGGAGGAGGGGACCTGGTACAAGAAGGTAGATTTGCTCACTATCATGTTTCTGTTACAGCGAGGGGATGTCGGACGGGGAGGAGGAGGAGGCGGTGGTGGAGGCGGTGGTGTCCAAGGCGAGACAGCCTCCTCCGAGAGAGACCTGGGACAAGAAGGTCGAGTTCCTCCTCGCAGTTGTCGGCTTCGCAGTCGACCTCGGCAACGTCTGGCGCTTCCCCTACATCTGCTACCAGAATGGCGGAGGTCAGTACTACCCTAGGTTTTAGTGTAAACGCCTATTAAAATGACCGAAACATATCAACTTCCTTTTTCCATAAATAAATCTAGTTGAACTAAGCTAGTCTCCTCAAGATGCCTTGTTAACGGTTTTTAACAATCTTTAAGTGGTTTTTATTTAGGCAATTTGATTTTGCCTCAACCTCATCCATACGTCCTTGCTACATCTTATGTAGGCTACTGTATTTGGGCAATCACCTCTTAACTCTGTCCTAAGTGGGGTTTGAATTTTTACAGCATTTTTTTTTGTCCCACTGTCGCATTGCATTGACATTGTTGCTGTTGTTTGCTGATCGATTCACCCAAAACCAACCATTGAAACCTATTCAATTTCTATCAAAGGTAACGTGGTACTGTGTTTGTTTCTTGAGTGACATGAAATGTTAAAATTCATTGTACTTTTACCTTGTCCCGATGTTTTATTTTATGGGTTAAATGTATGTACCTTAAAAGAAAGGGGTTTGCATTATTTGAAATATTATAAACAATAATTGAGTACTAACCCGGCTCTTTTACCAAGCGACAGCCAAGATTCTGTCCACGTTAAAAATAAAATTGTATTTTATGTATGTTAGTGAACAGAAACAATATTTCCGATCACAGTTTAATATTGTTCAGAAGACTTTAGACCTCAAACTCAATGATGTAAAATGATTGATGTGATATCTTTCAAACATGAGATCAAAGTTGGCTAAATCAAAAGACGTTACTTTGAAGATTGCCGTTACCCTTCTTTTACCACCTCGGTAATACGATTTAGAGAGTTGAAGAAACAATTTCTCAAAGAATTCTGTTGTTTTTCTATGTGTGATGAATTATGACAGTATAATATTCAGTTGTTTATTTTTGATCTTCAACTCACTTTAAACAGCTTTAACTCGTGTATTAGTAAGATTATATACGACGTACTCCTTAATTTAGCACAAGATCTTAAAAATTAAAAACTAAAACCAATAAACTTTTGTCTAGCATGTAGCAAATGTTGACGTTTCAGAATAAATCGTACGGTAAAAATCTGTTAAGAATAGTTATTTCAATAATTACAAATGCTTACTACACGTATTTTCATAATCACTGACCATTTCAAAACGTCTTTCCACTATTGGATAAAAGTTCCTCTATAGATTGGAATATTAAACCTGTGCAAAGTAAGAATAAACAATATTGTTAAGGATTATTTCAGAAAACGTACTAGGCGTATGTATAATTTTGAATTACTCCCCAACTACTTCATAATATGTCGGTTACAATTTACGAATAATTATAACGTGCCACATTAAAATCCAAACATAACAAAAAAATATAGCTGATTTTTAAAATGAATAATGATTAAGTTACTTAAGCCCAAAACAACTAACTGTATATAACTTTTAGTCAAGGGCAAACAACTTGTACACCATTTGAAATATTTTCCCAATATTCTACATTCGTTTCATTCCTAAAAATATCCTGAGACCAGCTACATAGCATCAAGAATGTCATAAAGCTTTTGTATATTTGAGTTTGACGCCGTCATCGTTTAATCATTTCCCACAATGTGGTAAAGTGGGAAGTGGTGGATCACAACCCGGACTTTGATCTCCTCCAAGGGGGGGGGGCATCAATGGGGTGAGAATGGGAAACACTGTCAAGCTGATACAAGTTTTTGTACAATCATTATCATTATCAATTAGGACGGGGACGACCCGATTGAAGGAGTGAATAATGATGTGGGATGTATCTTAGCTTGTGACGAAAATAACCAATCCTAAAGTACACCTCGGCTACTAGGTTGCACCAGTGTCACTTGAGTTTAAATTATTATTTTTTTACTAAATTGGAGCAATAGTGGATTTGATCGTGAATTTAATAGGCGATACTTTAATACTTAAATAATTTTTTATGAAATGGTGACCATACATAGTAGGTATTTTAAGCCAAGTATGAATGGAGATGAGTGTAGGATGAGTGGCGCGATCTTGTAGTCTTGTTAGTGACTTAGGCCGACATTCCTTAGACACAGCTGTTAATTAATAGCCCATACAGCTAATGGCAACTAAGGGACCTGCAGTTTATAGTGGAATCCGAACAAAATTTTTTCCCTTGGTATTATACGAATTGGTCTAATTATCAGGATAGCACTGCGGGTAGTCCTATATGTTCCTAGATAGTTACCTAAGTTTTGAAGAACAATTAATTTAAATCAAATCAAACGTTACAATAAAAATATATATTTTTCTAGAAAATAAGTGATTTTTAGCCAGAGTTTAGTTACTTGAATATAAAGTTTAAAGTAAATTATCACTCATGAGAAAGCAAAAGAATTTAACGAATTCTTCAACGAGTCTTCACCTCTCTAAATCGTTTCACTGACGTGGTAAAAGAAAGGTGACTGTAATCTTCAATCTAACCTTTTTTATTTTTAATTTTTATCTCGTGTTTGAATGATATGAAATCGACAATTTTACATCAACGAGTGTGTGATGTAAAGAATATACTTTTTAAACTATCTTTGAGTACAAAAATTATTTTAAAAGTCTAGTTCATGATATTTCTTAGCATTGTAAAAACCATACCTGGTTACAGTTCAGAGGAAGATTTTGTACCTGATGTTGTAAAATACAGCAGAGTAAAAAAAGTAAAAACATTTTATAATCGAAAATGTAATACAATGAAAACCATTATGAACTAAATGAAGGCTCATTAAAAGTATGAGTGTTATTAAATAATTAGTTTACTTGCTCCCATATGAACTAAATATTATTGGACTACTAAAAATACAATGAACCAAATTCGGGGAGTAGTTGTATTTTTAAATTAATCGTACAACTTAATCAATTTTCACTACCGATTAACTAACTTACTGATATCATCATTAATTTGAATTATTTTATTCTTATTTAATTATTTTAAATCAATAGTTTGAAACTAACTATGATTGAACTTTAATTATTTGCACGAAATCTTTGCTAATGGATCCAGGGTGATATATCAAATTTCCGTTTTAGAAAGGACATTATCAAATTTCACAGCATTGAAAACGTTATGTGTGATGGATTTAATCACGAAGAATATATTTTAGGATACATTCCAGAGACTGCAGATCAAGATGTTTCTTTTTCATTTGAGAATATGACGGACAAAAATATGTCTTGTGCTTGGATTAAATTTTACAATTTGAATTCTTCTTCACTCAGAGACTAACATTGTTTGCTTTATGTATGAAATTATTTCATCTCTTAAACAACTGAGATACATTTTTACACACATCACACTGCTAATAACTATTGAAAGTCTAAAATTTTGAGTGTTCAATACATTTACTAAATGGCTTAAACAGTCTCAGTACAAAATAAAAATAAAAATAAAACAAAATTAACGATGTTCGTTGCACAACAAAATGAAAGGAAAATTCAAGTAAACAGCTGATGAGCGCATGATTCAATCAGCTGGTTGATTACGTAAGAACCAATCACGTGACCAATTAATCACCTGACTTTTAACGAGTTTTATCCGCGTCAAAGGCTGCTAAAACAACATTCACGATTATGTTCCTCTGTTTTAATTATGGGAGCACAGCTGATTAGGATATTTATTCCACTTTTTAGAATTAACGTTATTATGCTAAACAAGTTTAAAAATTAGTTTGCAAAATTAGATTTTGTTTTGATGTTATTAATCACGGCACAGGTAAATTCCAAAGACTTGATCCATCTACATGCAAACAGGCTACAGTTAGGTTAGTTGAGAAAACCTTTACTCAAATTATCGTAGATTTACAGATTTTCAAACCGCTGAAAAACTAAGGAATCAGTTAACTAGTGTCGATTTCTTGTCAATGGAGGAGAGTAATAGATTTGTGATACAACTACTAATCCTTATGAAACATGTTTAGAGGACCTTTAAAATATCTTCTAAGCTATTCAATCTTATTTTAACTGCCATTTTTACGACTGGTTACTTGTCTAGGGCATCGTATGTATCAGTTCCGAGTATTATCGTTACATCATAGGTATTATACATCAAGGCCAAATTCGACTGAATATATGAACTATCATGACTTCTGGCTAAAAACCAAATACGTGCAGAAGAATGAGTTTCAATCAATTATCAAAATGTCATTATATCATAATATAAATAAGTTGGTCAATAGTCGCATATAAATTTTTAATTTTTCGTAAGGCTCTTATCGAAAGATGTTTCGCTTTTACTTTTCAAAGACTAGTCCATTTTATTTATATAATAATTTTCCATTTTCTTTGACAATTTTCTATAATGTTCCCTCATGTTCCAGGAGCGTTCCTCATCCCCTACTGCATGATGTTGGTGTTCGGAGGACTTCCCCTGTTCTACATGGAGCTCGCCCTCGGCCAGTTTCATCGCTGCGGCTGTCTCACCATCTGGAAGCGGATCTGCCCCGCTCTCAAAGGTCCGTAAGTATATTTTTGTCCTTAAACGTTTTGTAAACACGTTTGAGTATGTTTTACCCTAGTGTACTTGGATTACGTATATTGAAGAAAAAATAGTTTAATAGTATTTTTTTGTGTTTGGATCGGTTTTTTAACTTTCTATACATAGTATGTGGAGAAAGTATTGTTTTCGTAAAAATTTTCGAGTTTGAGTTTTCAACGAATATATCTGTTTTTTGTCCCCCTGAACCGAAAACAGTAGTTTTCGAAGTGATGTCTGTGTGCGTGTGTGTGGATGTGTACAGAGCAACAGCCTGTTGTCCGATTTTGATGAAATTTGGTATGTAGGTATCCATGGTATCTCCAGGCATTGTTTTTAATTTATTCAAAATTTGGATTTTTAACGGTAAATTAATCATAACAACCCATAAAATAACGGAAATATCGGATAGGTGGGGATTTGTGCCAATGTATTAATGTTTTGTTGTCATACCATCATAATTTACTAGTTTTTGTAATTGTTTATACTATTTGACTTTTAGGCATAACTTTTTTAAGTCAAGAGTGATGATGGCTGCAATATACTGAGGGGGGTTGGTGTTTTAAACATCCCCTGCCTGCAGCGCTGCAATGTGTGGTGGCGGGTAGCGGAACCACAGTATGATCGTTCAAAGTGAGGGATCCCCCAAGGGCTGCAGTCGAAATGAATAAACGTTCATGTTTGTGGATATCTTTTACATCGGAATTGTGGACGAAATATGTGTACAACTCTAGGGTGCAATTGTGATGACGAACGCTTTTGAGCTATCTGGTAAAAAATATAGTATTGCTTGGTCGGGAAGTAAAAACAAAATGTGTACCAATGTACCCATCGTTGAAGTTGGGAAATCAGATGGTATTTAGCGAATTGGATATCGGTAAAAGGTTTAAGCTGAATAGATCATGATCTTATAGCATATTGCTTACAAGAGGAAAGTAACGAAAAGTTTTGTTATATTGCGTTTAGAAGGACGCAAATAAAAAATATTATTGACGACACCATAGGGGTTTTCTTTTAAGGACCAAAACATTGTCGATAAACGTGTTATGAAGTATGATATTTCCACTACCAAAAGTCCTTATGTATAACCAAAATGTAGCCTTTTACAACTTTTCCTCTTTTGCAGCAAAAAGCCGGTTTCACAACGACCAAAGCACACCAAACAACTGAAATGCCTTAAAGCTTGTTTTTCGTCATATATAGTAAAACCTTCTGTATCCAATAGTCAATGTAAAAACTAGATGAAAACAACTTTGATTACCATACCAACCATACTGGTAACATAAACAATTTTTGTTTGTGACTTTGTTCATTTAAAAAGTGGAACAGTATGACGTGAAGATAGTTAAACAAATATGCAAACAGTATCTTCTTACTCTCACCTGATTTGCAACCTTATGTTTTCCTCGGTCGACCATGTCGCTTTAATAAATCCTATTGATAAAATATAATATTTTACCTAAAAATAAAATATATATATAAATATCCTTCTATGACGACAGTAATCAAATGAGTAAACACATCCAAATCCACATCAGGCAAACTAATACGATTCTAGCGTTGAATTTTTAATACACTTATATTTATGCAAACGGTGATTAATTATTTGCATGGTATTTTTTTTCTCTCAACAATATTTCCAGGTATACACTAGTTTTGTAGCCAGGATGGGACAGGGTAGTGCGACACAGTCCAGATTTACAACCCCCAACATATGTTCAACCAGCTGACTCCACAGGTCGGAGCTCTAAAACTGACAAAATATCACATCTTTGTGAGATACAAATTTGGTATGATGGAAAATAATGTGCAATAGAACAACAGTGCACAATTGAAAAAGTAATTTTACCATGCAAATAAGACCATGATGTAGAACATTTCATTTCTTCGTCTGAAAATACTGTGTTGACATTTATAATTTTTTTATTGATTCGATATAGTAAAGACTTATTCAGACTTCATCACTTTATGTAAAGTCACAGATAAAAAACTGTCACACTTAATGCGTTTTAATAGTTTGATTTTAAAATAATGCTGTATTTGATTTTTGTTCAGTCAAGAATTACCAAACTTTACCATAAAACCCAGACAATGCACTTTCCAGGCCAGGCCTTTGGTAGAAAAATTAACATATCGGATATGTTTTTGTATCCAAACATACAAATTACTCATACAAATTGGAAATTTTCCAACCAACTACTTAATGAAATTTGATTCGTATTACTGGTTCAATACGTAAATGTAAAAACCACGTTATGACCAAACTACATTTTTAGTTACTATTTCATGCTACATTTTCTAGAAATAACCAATTGGTCTTCAAAAATGTTGAGTGCTTTTTCTACTAACATTAGAACAATAATAAAAAAATAATTCATTGGTACCATATTAATTTAACATTAGATGTTTCTGTAAACTGAATTTAAAGGTGGTAAAAATATACCAACAAACTATCTTTTGATAACCAAATCTTAAAGAAAAAAAAATGTTTAGGAGAAAATAAAAGAAATACATACTTACTGTTTAATTTTGAAGTAGATATAGTTTTAATTAAATATTATATGAAATAGGAATATGCCATTTTTAGAATTGAACATTTTTAAATGTCATCTTAAATTTAAACTAGTGAAAATTTTAATTTTTGCTTTGCATTTTCGTTATAAAAATGCTCACTACACATTAAGCATTAGGTAACGCAAATACTGCGGTAGCTGACAGTTTTAATCGCTTATAAATTAGAAATACTTTGACATCGTCCTCTACGACAAAGGAGAGGGTTGCCACTGTCGGGGACAAAGCTGTAAAGATTGTATCTATCAAGTCACCGAGCCCTTTGCCATCATCTGCACACTTATTGCGGCGGACTTTGACCTCCTATCGGATTGTAGTGATTAAATCATGTCACTTTCTCTGTAGAGTGAAATAAAATCCACTCGAATTGTAAGTTTCGATCCATCGATATAGTAGTGGTGGCACTGTTCATGGCATACACAGACCAGGTGGTCGTGTACGCGAGAAGTTGGCAACACTTGCTGTAAATATCAGCTGTTCATTGTTGCTGGACATTTTGGAAACAGTTGACATAAACGTATTTGTAAATTTAGTAAAAATTAAAGAAACAAAAGTTTCATAATTTCTCCTAACGCCCAATAAGTTAACTATTGTGTATTGTAAGCCTCCTGATAAATTAGCATTTAAGTGGATCGGTTGTGTCTAATAATTATCATAGTTCCTTTTCAGTTTTGGACATATATGTTACTATTTAACTTTTATTTTTGTCCTACAATGTTTTATGTTAATCGTAGGGACAACTTTAAGTGGGAGGGTTGTAGTGTGCAAATTAGATATACTTCAGTTAAAACGTATTCTTCAATTTGTTGAATATATTTTGTAGGTCTATAATATAAAAAACGCAGGAATCAAATTTTGGATATGAATTACGCACTTGTGTATAGCAGACAACATGGATTTTACAGTACTAATGCATAGTTACAAAAAACCGTCACAATCTGAAGCGAAACAGTTTGCAAACGTGTTGGTCCTAGGAAATCAATGTTACAATTTTAATTAAATTAGGAAAATTTTGGACACATTTGTTGTTTTTAAACTTCAAACGAAAGCCATCAGAACAGTTTTTAAGAAGCGTCGTAAATTTGTCTAAAACACTGTTTGTGAACAATAAAATTCTTACTTTTCCGTCCATGTATATCTTAAACTGTCTTGTTTTTGTTAAGAAAAATATTGACCTTTTTCAAAATCTGTCCTATCTCGTCCTATCTCCTATGGTTTGGGAAGCCGGTCTGTTTTAGACATTCCAAAACACAAAACAGTTTTTTTTAATAATTTATTTTACAAGGACATTTAACTGTTCAATGCACTGCCCACTCCCCTGAAGATGGAAAATAGTGTTGACAAATTAGGCAAAGGGGTAAAAATTCTTCTTTCAATCAATCAAAATATCTTTATTTCATAATATGCAAACATATATTTACATGAAATAGAGTCATGGGAACTAAAACTAAGTGAGATGGTTATTCAAAAATTACATAAGGTTAATTTGTATTCTAAATAAAAATAAAAATTCTAAAATTAAAATTCTTTTGTCACGCTGTTGTTAGAGTGTGAAGACTTTTAAGAGAACATTGATCTTTAGTTTTTAGATTGAATCTATAAAAAATATTGTTTTGATTCGTTTAAGATATTTTGGATATTTATAGGTATTGTGGATGCTATACCACACTTATAGGTGTGGATGAACGTCCGCACGAGTGAATACTACGACTATCCGCAGTACTATCCTGATAATTAGACCAATTCGTATATACTAAGGCAAAAATGTGGATCGGATTCCAATAAAAACTGTAGGTCCCTTAGTTGGCATTAGCTGTATGGGCTATTAATTAACAGCTTTGACTAAGGAATGTCAGTCTTAGTCACTAACAAGACTACAAGATCGCGCCACTCATCCTACACTCATCTTCATTCATACTTGGCTTAAAATACCTACTTTGTATGTTCGCAATTTCATAAGTATTAAAGTAACGTAAAAGATAAATTTTGTTGACACTATTATGCAGTTTGTAACAACTGTCCAAAATAAAGATATTTGAATTTGAGTTTGAGCAACAATGGATTGCCATAACAGTGTAAACTCATACACGATTTGTTTACAACCCCAAAGTTCAACACTTAACAACAAGAAGGTTAAATCCCGGCCTAAGAAAGTATATTGGTATATATCATGTAGCCGGGACTGATGAGTCGCTGTATCAATGTCAGCACTCCACCCTGAGTGATTCTTCTCCCCAGGGCCCTTATCACAACTTACGACGAGTGATAAGAGCATTGAGCTGACGTCATCAACCGTCTTGTTAGGTTAGGTGTGTCAGTGAGCTGAACATAGTACTTATTTTGGAAATCTTTGTTGCTTGCATAAAGTGAGAAACATGTTTTGAATCACAGAATTTAAATAATTAGATTGATT